CCCCTTCCCCAACAGCTCCTGCAACTGCGAGGATAACTCCTGCATCTCCGGAGGCGCAAGGCGGTAAGGTGCCTTGGCAATAGGCGCCTCTCCTGGCACCAAATCGATCCGAAACTCTACCTGCCTCTCGGGAGGTACTCCTGGCAACTCCTCGGGAAAAACATCTGGAAACTCGCACACTATTGGGACCTCAGAGATAGAACTCAATCTCTTTGCAGTAGCCCGTGTATCCATCACATACGCCAAAAATCCCATACATCCCTGTTGTAGACTCTGTCTCGCTCTGGCGGCTGAACAAAATGCCGACCCTAATCGGGTACCCTCGCCATATACTAAAAGCACTCCCCCAATAGGGTCTCGGATGGTCACTAGCTGACGCTCATAGTCGATCACAGCTCCAAATCGACTCAACCAGTCCATGCCCACGATGACACAGACATCCCCCATTACGATCCGTACCAGATCTATCAGAAACTTAACTCCGAAGATCTCAAGCTCACATCCACGAATCAGATCAGACGCAAACACCGCATGCTCATTGGCTATGGAAACTCTCAGAGGTCGACTCAACGCCTCTCGTCGGATACTGATGTGACGACTAAATGCTAATGATACAAAGGATCGACTCGCACCCGAGTCAAATAACACCAAAGCAGGTACAGAACTCACAAGAAAAGTACCTATATATAATCACAATATAATCACATAATATCTCAAAAGAATATAATAAGAACACATACCAGCCACTACATCAGGCGCTACGCAGACCTCCTCCGCTGTCAGCTGAAAGGCTCTCTCACGAACCCTCGGTGTCTCGACCTTCGCTGGCCGAATCTCAGTAGTACGCACAGAAGTAGGTGCATATCCCTGGGCTGAACCCTGCACGAGCTGAGGGCACTCGGCCTTCCGGTGGCCGGTCTGGTTGCAATGAAAGCAAACCGAAAATCCCTTGGGGTAATCCTTCGCCATGTGCCCCTCCTTGCCGCATTTGTAGCAAATCCCCGAACGGCAAGAACCCTCATGACTCTTACCGCACTTCCCACAAGTGTGGCCCTTCTGGCCCCCAACTCTGGAATCAGCGGGCTTGGCCCGCTTCGTCGCCGGCTGCGACTGAACTGGTCTCCGATCCCTCCCCCGGGACTCCTCCTCCTCCTCCCTGGTCTGCAACGCGAGCTCAATCTCCCTCCTCCTGGCATTGGCCTGAAGCTCGGCCAATATCCTGTACGATGAGTTCGCCACGAACTCTCGTATGTCCCTCCTCAGTATGCTTAGATATCGGCTCACACGTGCCTGCTCAGTGGACACGTGTTCAGGGCAGAACATCGCCCTCTCATGGAACATCCTCGAAATCTCAGTCACTGATTCCGTCTTCTGCTTGAGAGATAGAAACTCCTGTGCCAAACGTTCCCTCTCCACTGGGGGAACATACTCGTCTCGAAACATCTGAACAAACCTCTCCCATGATATAGTCGCATGATCTGTGGGGGTAAAACCGGCTGTCACAAATTTTCACCAGTCCTTCGCTCCCAAGCGAAGCTGGTTCAGCGTGAACCGAACTCTCAAGTAATCGGGGCATGAACACGTGTAAAAACACCCCTCCACATCGGAGATCCACCTCATCGCAGCAATCGGGTCCTAAGTCCCATCAAACTCTGGTGGCTTGGCCCGCTTCGTCGCCGGCTGCGACTGAACTGGTCTCCGGTCCCTCCCCCGGGACTCCTCCTCCTCCTCCTTGGTCTGCAACGCGAGCTCAATCTCCCTCCTCCTGGCATTGGCCTGAAGCTCGGCCAATGTCGTGTACGATGAGTTCGCCACGAACTCTCGTATGTCCCTCCTTAGTATGCTCAGATATCGGCTCACACGTGCCTGCTCAGTGGACACGTGTTCAGGGAAAAACATCGCCCTCTCATGGAACATCCTCGAAATCTCAGTCACTGATTCCGTCTTCTGCTTGAGAGATAGAAACTCCTGTGCCAAACGTTCCCTCTCCATCGGGGGAACATACTCGTCTCGAAACATCTGAACAAACCTCTCCCATGATATAGTCGCATGATCTGTGGGGGTAAAACCGACTGTCACAAATTTCCACCAGTCCTTCGCTCCCAAGCGAAGCTGGTTCAGCGCGAACCGAACTCTCAAGTGATCGGGGCATGAACACGTGTAAAAACACCCATCCACATCGGAGATCCACCTCATCGCAGCAATCGGATCCTGAGTCCCATCAAACTCTGGTGGCTTCGTGTTGCTGAACTCCCAGAATAGCAACGCGTCACCTCCCTGAGGCCTAGCAGCGGCGACGGCTGCAGTGGCTGCGGCAACAGCAGCCTCAGTGATAGCAGTGTATCGCTCGTCGAACTTCTGAATCAAGGTGGTCTTGATAGACCCAAACATCTCTGGAATCTCTGCTCGGATAGCTGCAGCCACCTCCTCATGGATCATCCTCCGTATCTCATCATCACTACTCCCACTGCCTCCAGGGTTGTGGCGTGTCCCCACCATGATGTTTTTGAAACACAACACAAACTCATCAGAGACTCGTTCGAGCATACTCACACTCGACCACCTGCCCCTACTTGATCCTTAGCATCCAAAGGATTCTTACTTGGACTGCTCACTGATCCAGTGTTTCCAGTAGTACGGGCCCAATACTACCTTCCACACCACATCCGTGTTCACCCCAAGTCCTCCTCCTCGGATCCAATTAACATATGTTTATTGATTATAACATTGCTTTTCAATGCAATTAAATATGGAATCAAAGGAAGAAGAAAGATTACAAGCAAAATCTATAGCATGTTTTGATATTTTTTCAATGTTTAAACTTTGAGGACATCAAATTATTGGTTTTATATGTCTATGCATTATACAGGAAAGTAAAAAATATATAAAAATAGAAAAAGACCATAAACTGGTTTGACCCGACGGTTCAACCGGTTGACCCGTGAACCGGTCATCACACCGGGTCAACTAAAAACCCGGGTTTTAAAACATTGGATACGAGTTACTCCAACTACATATACTGTAACGACGTAAAATTTTCAAACAATTTTTCTCATTTTAAAACAAAATATATCTCATTTCATTATTCTCAAAATCACACGTGTCTCAAATGTCAACAAATAAAACATAAATCCCAGAATCATAAAACAATCTCTCGCCAGTGTGTACAATCATGTCGGTGCCTTGCCGCGATCCTCGGAACTATCTGAAACACATAACACATAACACATAACACGATAAGCATAAAGCTTAGTGAGTTCCCCAAAATACCACACACAGCACAACAGCCACTCAAGGCTATACTTAATAAGACCCTCTGGTCAATGTGTCTCAGTGGGACCCTCCAGCCCCACAACTCGGATGGACCCTCTGGTCCCTCAACTCAGCATCTCAATATAATACATGGTAAGCATATCACAAAACAAATAGCAGGATTTATCAATACACATCATATACACATAAGACCCGCTGGTCACACATAAGTTACCACTCAAGGTAAGTATAGTGAGAAGACTCACCTCGTAAGATGTCTAGTAAACTCTCGTGCTTGATATCCTCGATCTAGCCTCCGCCTAACACAATGATAATAATTCTAATCAATACTCTCTTTACATCCTCATCTCTAGAGAATGGGTAGAAGACCATTCTACCCCTCCCTGACCCCTCTTAATCAGTTTGACCAAACCCTAAGGTCAACTGAAGTCAACTCCAGTCAACGGTCCAATTTTGACCATACTCGTCGAGTGCACTCGTGTGACTCGGCGAGTTCATGCGTATCCTCTGAATCCTTCTAAGGCCTCACTCGGCTCGTCGAGTTAACCTCCCAACTCGACGGGTTACCACTGGTCACGAATCGCGGGGCAACCCGATCCGACTCGTCGAGTCCTCTCATGGGCTCGACGAGTTTCCTCCATGGCAATACTCATTTGACCTTCTAAGGTCAGATCTGTTTCTCTAACTTATAGATCTGGCCTTCTAGCACCCAAAAGTCACGTAAAGGTTCAATCTTTATGTCCATGCACCACACATCAAGCTCTATTTGACAAAATAACCCTTATAATGATAACTTAGGCTCAAAACTCTTATGGGACTGCATAAAGCTGGATGATTGGGACTCTCTGGACCTCTCAAGGTCCAGATCTGATGTTTATGCCTCGAAGGGACTTCACATACTCCATAACTCAACTGAAAAGGGGGAAAAGAAACCCTAGATTCATGAAATCTACTATTCATACGGAAATGGGCATGGATTCATACCTTAAGCAGCAACTTTGAATGAAATGGTAGAACATCTGAGCCCCTCAAGTCAGCCTAGCTTGAATCCCCTCCTTCTTCCTTGCAAGAATGCTCTAAAGTGAAGAAATTAGCTCCCTCTCTCTCTATGCTCTCTGGTTCGATTAGTGTCTCTCAAGGGTATGTGTGGCCGCAAATGAAGGCCATAAGGACCTTTAAATAGGTCTCAAACCCGGGGATTTAGGGTTTTCACTCCCAGCGCCTACTCGGCGAGTCTAGTCCCGGACTCGTCGAGTAGATCATTAAACCCACGTGGCCATCCCGTCCCTACTCGGCGAGTTATAGCACCAACTCGTCGAGTAGATCAATGAACCTCAAAAATAATTACTTAAAACAACATACCTGAGAATCCGGATGTTACATATACTTGGTCTAGCTACAAAAATCTATACGCACTTCCATGACATTTTTAGTAAATTTCTGCTGCCATATCACACAAAAAACTAATTTTACAAAAAAGAATTGCAAAAAATATTGTTATATGATAAAAATATTCGGTATGTGATAATGTAGTATCGGACCACTTTTATCTTTTGGTGACTAACCCAATTTTTTGCTATTTAGACTAACCCAATATATTTTGTGTTTATTTGCTTACACTACCTTTTGTTGTATCTAAAAAGAACCTTCTTTTACCATCATCACTTTCACACTCAAACCCCCCTCTCCATCTCTTCAACTTACCAGTCGGTAGTGTAGTATCAAAAATGCCGCAAAACGAGGCTGCGGCCCTTGACCCACTCGCCGGTGGAAGCTTTTCCCGGCTCCTCTTTTCCAACGTAGAAGCCGAAGACGCCGTTAAGATTCTGGGTCTTGATGATCACCACCGCCGCCACCACCTTGATAATACAAACGGCGGCGGTGCCGGTCATTTCGCATTTGGAGACAATCGAAAGCCACCGAAAATGCTGTGCTTCGGATCAGATTATATCAGCAGTAGCATCAATGGCGTCTCAGCGGTTTCATCAACTACTTATTCCACCACAACCATCACCGATGATAACAATAACTCATCGTCGCCGCCGTCTACTACCAACAGCACCACCACTTCTTTATCATCTAATTCCAATGTCAGTCACAGAACCTTTTCATTTCTTACATTTCTTGTCTTGTAACGTAAATTTTTTTTACTTTTTACAAGAGGACAAATTAAAAGCTTGTAGTATCTGATTCTTTGTTTTCTTTTATCTCACTTGTTTGTCTTTTGTTACAGATGAAAAGAGACATGCGTAGGGATTATTATCAGCCGATTATACTTCCAAATAGTTTCGCCGCCACCAGTGCCACCGCGTCTCCGGCGAGGAGCAGCAGCCGCAACTGTAAAAAGATGAGGACCGAAAAGACACCTCCGGTAAGCCATGCAAAGGTCTGACCTCACCATTAATTACCATTTTACTAAAATTATTAAAAAAAAAAAAATCACAGGCATCGATTAACTTCAAATTTTTTATTTTTTGGTTTTGGTTTTTTGGAAAAATACAGGTGAAGAAGGAGAAGCTTGGAGAAAGAATTGCAGCCCTACAACAGATAGTGTCACCTTATGGGAAGGTTAATATTTCTTTATCTATTAATTCTTTAATTTAATGTTTGAATTTGATTTCGATAAATGAAATTAGCTTAATTATATTAACATTTATAGTTTCTATATAATAAATTACTGTCATAAGAATGTGTGTAATTGGGGTTTGTGATAAGCCCAGACCCCACAGTATGGATGTTTGAGTGACTTCGTAAAAATCGTCAACTGTCTACTTTGACCAGAAGTCAAATATTTAATTTCGATATACTCATAATATCTTTTTAGTTGTATATATTAAAGTATTTAATATTGTTTATTTTACCTCAGTGTATTTACCTTCAATCCTAATTATGTGTATAATTATGAAAAGTTGGTGCACAATCGTTTGCATTTCATATTTATTTACAATTTTTTTTAAACATGATGTATATATGTTATAAGTATAAAAACATATAAAATCTTGTCCACTTATTTTATTTTGGTTATAATTAAACACAAGAAATTAACCGAAACCGTAAAATAAAAAGATATGTATAAAACTAGAAATCAAACAATCAAAACATGTTTAATTTTGTGTATTAGAATCACTTCACAAAAATAAATTATATACATCACAAGTATCCACAACTCATCAAATATAATGACGATTAATTTCAATATGCTTAATTAGAGCATTCAATTAGTGTTTGAATTACATATTGAACAACCTATAAATTTTTATCCATGTTATACTTATAAAATTTAATCGTGTTTAATTTTATTTTGTGCATTGCGCGCAGACAGACACTGCATCGGTGCTACATGAAGCCATGGGATATATCAAATTCCTTCAAGAACAAGTGCAAGTCTTGTGCTCTCCCTACTTGCAACGTCCCACGTCCACACACATCGTAAGTAATCCTAAAATCTATATTTAATTAGGATTTTTATATCAACATATATACCATTTTTCAAACAATTGTAAAATTAAATTCGTATAATGCATTGAACTCACAAAATTCAATAAAAACATATTTTAAAAAATAAAAAAGGTTTGTTTTAAATGGTCATTAAAACCAACATATTAAATGTCACTTTCGCATCCAACTATGGTTGCATTTAATCAATGCATTCAACTATTCTATTTATAAACCATGCATTCTGAATACCCAACATATAGTATCGAATCTACTTAACATTTCAATAACATGAAATGATTATATAAATGTGGATGAACAGGAAGGAGAAGAAGATGAAGATGGAGGTGAGAAGAAGAAAGATCTTGGGAGCAAGGGGCTGTGTCTGGTTCCTGTTGAGTGCACCCTTCATGTCGCAGAAAGCAATGGTGCTGATCTCTGGTCACCTGCCATGGTCAATCGCCATGATTCTTCAGTACTGCACTGAACCACCTGAATCAAGAAAACTTAACCACCTTTTTGATACTACAATGGCTGCTTCTCTCTCTAACTGCAGAAAATCAGACAGTTTTACAGTAGATCATGTCCTTTTTTGTATCTTTCTTTCTTACAGATTTGACCATGATCTTTTTTGTGTAGTTTCGGATATATATAAGTCAAACTCAAAGATTTCATAGTCAACCATTTTATTGGCACTGATTTCTTCACATTTTGGTAGTACAACGATGGACAGTTGGTTGGCGACCAGACCCTTTACGTCCACTTGTGCCTTTTGGCTAAATTTCAGACCTAATATTCGATGGAAACTTGTTTTTATCGTATAATATAAAAATCAATATTTGATGCTTGTAAACAATTTAATGTTGTTTTTATATGTAATATAGATGTAAATATAAACTTTTATAGTTTTTATGACTTATAAATATAATTCAAGTTATGTTTAGTAAATCAGACGTTTATTCTTTGTAAAACGAAGTTATTAATTAAAGTCTTATTCTTCAATTAAGAAAATATTTTGTTCCAATTAAAAACATTTTTTGTGATAATGATTAAGAAATATAATCATCAATAATAAATAAACTAAATTTGAGTCTGATTAAGACCTATGCTAGCACAAGTCAGACCATGCTTCCATTAGGACCCGATTTAAACTTCGTATGAAGGACCGGGCTATGTGGCCCTTTTCTAGGTGTTTATTATGTTATAAGAGAAGAGATATTTAACTTTGCATATGATTTAACAAAAGATTTTATATAGAGAATCATAAAAATGGCCAAAAATTAAGTATTTGTTAGTTATGGGCTCCGTTTCTCAATCGAATAACATGTTTCTGAATTGAGTAATCTGCAAGAAAAATGTTAGTAAGAAACGCAGTGGTTGAGGGTCGAGTTGGACTCGATTCCTTTAAACAGATTTGTTGTCTGTTACCAGGATACAACAACCGTAATAATGTTGAAAGATCTTGTATGTCCAATAGTCATTATAGAATGATATTGTTAATAATATATGATCTTATAGGGTCACACCATATAGCAAGTTACCGTCAATTTATTATTTATTAGTATAATTTGATTATTAATAAATATATCAACACTTGTATTTAATTGGAAAATTATTATTTCATGGAAATAATATTTTACTAATTGGGAATTTATTATTTGTGAAAATAATATTTATTGGAGAAATAACAACTTATGAAATATATCATAAAGTATGATTATTTATAAGTTATATTTATATCTTAATAAACTAGTTCAATTTATACAGAATGTAGTTCTATATAAAATAAGATATTTATATATTCATATTTATATCTTAACTAGATTATGACCCGCTTTAAACGCGGGGGAACGCATGAAAAAGAATAAAGTAACATAAAGAGACTTCGTGTTATTGATTATTACAATGTCGAAAAAGATAAAACGAAATGTCTGATTATCTATAATTGTCGAAGTACCTCTTTGTAGACAATATTTTTTTGTTTTATTGGTTAGACGGCCTTCATCATCACATATGAGTAAATCTGAAAAAAAAAAATAAACAAAAATACGCAAGTAAAAAATACATATCTTGCAATAATATTTCTTTGGTGGCGTGTACATCATCCAATAATAGTTGTACAAGCGTTATTAGACTGAGATCGGGACTTTTGTGAAGCGAAAAAGATTTACAATTTTCTCACTCAAAAGGTGGGGTAACTTGCTCTCTATCTGTCATATTCGGATTAGACGTGAATACTCTATTCATCCTTATCATAATGAAAATGAAAATAGAAGTGGAAAACAGTAAAAATGGAAAATGGCAAAAACATGTAAAATTGGAAAATGGTAAATACATGTGAAACTGCACAATCTCAAAGTAGGATGCTATTTAACAGATTTTCCAACTTCAAAATTTGTCAAAAATAGTAACCTACTTTGAAAAATCTTGAAATAAAGTGTTTTTTTGTCCTTTTTTTCAAAAAAAAAACAAATAGAAAAGTTGCAAATTGGTCATTTTTTGTAGATAATAGAAATGTGTCATTTTGGGTATTTCTTTTTACAGAAAAGTAACAATTGCCAATTAGGACATTTTTTTGGAATTTTATTTCTCTTGTGGACTTTTTTTCTATTCATGGGTTTTGACAACCGTTTTGGTCATTTTACCTGAAAACATAGAATTTGTCAATTTTGTTAGAAAACTGAAACAAAAAATATATATATATGTTGTAATTTTTGTTTATATGGATTTTTTAAAAAGAGAATACCTACAAATATTCGAAGGATTGCAAGTGAAAATTTGTCGGTATATAATTTTTTTTTTTTTTTGGGATTTTTTGTCCTTATTACATGTTCTAACACCGTTTTCATGCTAAACACAACATAGAGTTGCAAGTATTTAGTCATTTTTCAACAAAACACATACACATGAAAATACAATGTTATAATCAACCACTAAATGAAAGTATGTTGCTATAATGACAACAATGTACTTTAATATATATTTTTTCTGATTACAGGATCCTATTTTCATTATGGACCAAAATCATTATGAAATAACAAAATTAGGAAACAAATTGCAAATTGAATCCTACTTTTGGTACCAAAACTGGAAGAAAATAATTAAAATTTTGGTCCTTGTGAATACTATCTTTTTCCTACATCTTTTTTTTTTAAAAAAAACAAAAAAAAGTAGGGATGTCATACTGTGTAAAATGCATCCAATCATGGCATTGTACTTCCACTTATTTTCTTACTATGACATTCTAATTTGAAAATGATAACCAACAACCACAATGAAAAATAGTTTTGTATCGCTATCTAAAGAAATTAACTAATATAGACCTTGTTTAAGTAACGATGTAGCTTTAACACGTAAGAGGGACAAAAATGAAAATAACAATGTGTATTTGTTTTCTTTTCTGATTACAAGATGTCCTATTTTTCTAACTGGTACCAAAAATGTCATGGTAATTCATGGATAAAGTTGAATGATCATCAAATTCTTGATACATATAAGTTGTTATTTGAACAACCTAAACTAATAAACATGTTATCTGTTTTGAACAAAATGAAAAAAACTTCTAAAATTCAAGGATATAAAACATTGTTTTAACATTAACTAGGTGTGAAACCCCGCTCCGCGGGGTTCGGTTAAGACTATAGTTTTAGTCTTTTTTTTAACTGTTATGTATGTGGTGTAGCGATAGGTAGTGTGTCGTTGGTTGTTATGTTTAAGTTTTTGTTACAAAACTCTTTAACAGAAACATATGATGATGGTATGTGGTGAAAAAAATATATATATAAACATTATGGTAAAAGAGCCTTAAAAAAACTGTTACAAGAGGAAAATATGATTTATGGAATCACCATTAGACCACTTATGCTACAAAAATGCAAAAAAAAAAAAAATTGGCATTTAGCCATGATTCCGCCACAAAACGTTGTCCTACTTCAATCAAACCCCTACAAAGAATCCAACAATTTATGACAACAAATTAATGCGTATTTTCCATTTCCATTTCTCCTCTTAAATAATCAAAATAAAGTGCATATAATTCAATTCTATATACCAATTAAATTGCAAAATGGGTGCTCGTATCAAATTTAAACTGAAAAAATGGGATTTTTATGTACCAAAAAATCGTCCCTTCTTTGCTTCGCAACACCAATACACTTTTAGTGCTGATAACCGTTGAAGGCGTCGCGACTATCAGGTCGGTAGGCTTTCATATCGCTATTGCAACATTGATTCATTGAGCTGATTAAGTAGTTCACAACAATGTCTGAAGTAGTTATTACCCCTGGACACAGCTAGCTATGTTATTCCTTCATTTTGACGGCAATAAGACTTGAAATCTCGGGATCACGAAGATCAGAAGCTGATAGTGTCTGAAACCATGAAGAATTTTTTTCGATGTGAAAAGACGAAAATGCCCAAAAAAATAGCCCTAAAACTTTGTTTATACCTTAGCATGTATGAATTCCTCTACTCGACCTTCTGCAAGAATCCATTGATCTTCACTTTCACGGCCATTTGGATGAATCACAAGGCTGGAATGCAACCGAGAGTAATGTTTCTTCTTTCTTTCGAGATTATTGGCTGAAAAATGAAGTCAATTAAACCATTGATGCTGTCTTGATCAACAATTACAGTAACATAATCATCATAAGTCAGGAAACTGTTAAAAGAAATTAGAGAAAATAAAAGATTAATTGATTGGTTGTCTTTATTGGATGGAGATGGGGCCATGGGGTGTGGTAATTTTTTTTCCCTTAAATTTTATTCAAATAAAAATAAATGAAAAGGAAATTAGAAATGGTATATAAGAGACAGTTGATAAGTAAATAACCATGGAACGAAAAAAATAAATTAAATTTTTCTATAAAATAAATAAATAAATATTTTGGAAGTACTTTGGTTAAAAACATTCATTATTGGAAGTACTTTGGTTAAAATAAATAAATATTTTGGTTTTTCCTGGAAAAAAGTTAATATTATATTTTTTCCAAAATGAAATAAACAAAATTTGTGGTATTATTGCAAAAACATATAAGAGAAACTGATTGAACCAATTGATCTTTTGTATCATCAATCATCAAATGATTTGAAGTTGAAGGGCTACAGACAGTTTTTAGTGGATTCTCCAAACACCGAATGGATTTTGCTTCCACATTAGCATCAATTGGATGAGAAAGTGTCAGCATTGTCTCCGATAATGCCTTCATACTTCTTACATCCCACCTAACAGCAGCAGATTGCTCCCTGCAACACCATATTGGTCAATCTAGGGCTATTTGTCTTTATCAATAAATTAACAACAACACTTTGTATAAATGACTTGCCCTTTGCAAGCAAACCATATTTGACAAGTGAGTGGGGCATTTTGGCAAACATATATTGATTTATTAGACATGAGTTCTGACATATCCCTGCAATCTTAAAGAATTGGGTTGACTGCAACTGTAAATGTATTATGGATTGACCGCCATATGAATTGAAATCTCTAGTTTGAATCTAAACCAACGGTTATTTGTGCACAACAAGAACCGACCAGTTTTTCTGCTTTCAAAGGATTTTTTCTTGCATTATGATTATGCAAATTCTGCCAATTAATATCCATTTTCAGTCATTTTCCTCATAGTTCATAACACTGTAGTGTAAATCACCAAAAGAAAAAAGAACTCATTAAGTAGAAAGGCATACCCGGTTTGATTGGAGGCGCTCTGATTTCCACCGTGCGAAACCACTTTACTTCCCTACCAATGGTTGTAGTCGCTAGAACACAATCTGCCACCTACATAAAAAAATAAAAAAATAAAAAAAAATCCTTACTTGGTTGCAACTTAAGACACACAACAGCCACTGAACACAGATAAACACAGACATACCAGCCACTCATACACATACAAACACACACATCAACCATCTCACCATATCATTAGGCCAAATGTCTTTTGGTTTATAAAAAATTGTAAATGGAAATGTAAATTTATTATAAATAGGAATGGCGGAAAAGGTCAAACCTACGTAAAGTACTTCATGACAATGGTTATGAGAGGCTTCAAATCTCAACAGATGAAAAACTTTTGTGGATTTGATAGCCATAAGTGGTGGAGACGGTGTGAATATGGAAGAAGCAGGTACCGGTTGGTGAGACACCCACCTAATATCTTCTTTTGTTCTGATGCTAATATATTCCGTACATCAACATCATCTAAACATTCTTGCATGAAAAAATTCTCATGTATTTTCTCAATAACCTACATCATGCATTTCAATCAATAATTAGTAACATATGAATATGATACGATGCAACAACACCAAACCACACCAAATGGACCAAAAGATGCCAAAGTCCTTTCATCTGGTCTGTCATCATGATCAATCTGAAGAAGGGAAGGCCCTGGAAGCCCAAACTGTCGCCTACTACATGGAAAATATATGTATCAGCAATGCAAACAATAAACGGATATAAATTTTGAATTGAAGGGTCTGGTCTGTCTTGTATTGTATGGTATTATACCTTTCTACAACTATTAACTTAAGCTTGTTATGAGGTCATACTATTATGGAATCGTCTATGATTACAACAGATGATTCCATACCATTGTTCTTCAAGTTTATCTTCATGTTTATAAACAGGTTCTGCTGCTCAGACAAAGTATCCTCCTGCCCTTAGCATCCTGTGTTTACCTCCAGCAACAAAATTCCATCTTAAACAGAAACGAAGAAAACGTAAAGAGACAACTAATATGAGTAAATACTACTTAATTCAAACATAAAAAGGAAGGTGTAAAGAGATTGAAAGACATAATCTTAGGGGCCATAATTGTAACTTAAATTGAAAACAAAAGTGAAGGTACTGGAAACGATAACATTAAAACCTGATCGATCCTCAACAATGTATGCCATTAATCAGTTCACATTTCTAAATCATAGTCAAAAATCAAGAAACGCATTTATTTCATAGTTTAACACTTACATAGCTCTTAGTTGAAGACATTTACTATTTTCATTTGGAATTTGACCATGTAAGTTGTTTTGGTGAAGTGCCCTGATAATAACAAAAAAATGCATAAATCAAACACAAATTAACTTTAAATAAGTTAAGATTACAGCTCCAAAAAATACACTTACGGTGTCTGTAGTCTAGTGAGTTTACCAATGCTAGGAGATATAAACCCCCAATCTCCATGTATCGCAAGTTTCTGAAACAAATCACAAAACGAAAATCAAGGGTTAGAACTTAGAACCGTATGCAATCTGTTCTGAAATTAGGTTTTTCTGTCACTCTATTCATCCTCGAAATGCGGTCGGGCCTCATCATCTACCGAACCGGTAAAAGACATCAAAGATCGAACCTGGAGTTGGGACCTATGTTTGGAGAGATGGAGCCTAATCCGTAAGCGAAACCGTTGTTTACGGTTGCAATTGAGACGAAGACTGAAGACAGAAGGGTAATCGAAGTTGGTGGAAACGGCAACACGATCAAACCGAGGCGGTAACCCTGCTGGACCGGATTGGATGGCGGTGGCGATGAACTGTTCCCGAATAAAAAGGATCAGGAAGTGGTTGGCGGTGGAGGGAGCAAAGGGTAGAAGAAGAGAGGAGACTCGATTTGGGAGGTGGTGGAAGGATCGTGAAGCAAACAGAACGAAAACAGATAAACATCAAATACTGAGAGGCCGGGCACGATGACCAACACGTGGACAGAGAATAGAATATTTTCCATAAAACACCCCTATACCAAAATTCTATAATCAAGGGACCATTTCTACCAAAAACACACAAGTTCACTATTCATCTTTTAACACAACTTTAATATATATATAATAATATCTACAAAATATAGTTTTTAAGGCTTCCTTTGTCACACGATACATGATTGGATTATAAAAATAAGAAGATTTACAAACAAAAAGAATTGAGAGGGAGCAAGTTTTTCTCTTACTACTTAGGTGAGACAAAAATAACTAATGCAGGTATTTCATAGTTGACCAAAGGTTCTTGGTCAACTAATGCAAGATTTACATGAATGGAGGACGAGTTTTATGCATTTTTAATCCTATCTTTCTTAGATTGCAGGTATTTCATAGTTGACCAACGGTTTGACATGGTTTGCTTTCATATGTTGACTTACCTTGAATATAATAGGTGAAATTTAATGATATTTGATTCCTTTAATTAAAATATATATGCTAACAAAATACTTTTAAATTAACTAAAATATATGAGATAAAAACGGATTCTTGTTACATGAGGGCATATGATACTTCTACTTTGTTTTTTTATCTACCCACTTAATAAAATTGTATTTTTCCTTTTTTACCCTTTAGAAACTACGCTCATAAATTAGATTTTGATCCCTTGACTTTATTTCATCCCTTATTTAGATTTTGTATCTTTTTTTTTATTTTTTATTTTTACACCTTTTAATTTGGAAACCCATGTCTTTGAATTTGGTTTCCCTTATAGGTTTTACTCATTTTTTTTTTTTGCTTTTCTTTGTTTTACTTTAATTTTGATTTTATTTATATATTATTAATGTAAAGTATATAAAAATAAAAAAATAATAATTTTTTAGAAACAAAAATTAAATAAAAAAATCATGCAAATATGATACGCACACCGCACGGATATAGTATTATTGGAATCGGTTAAGCACCATTTAATAAATTTTATGGCATACGCTAATATTTTTTTTATTAATGGTGTAAACTAAGTTGGTATCATAGTCTCCAACCAAAATAGTGGCTACGGACCGCAATTTAAAATAACAGTTCTCATGATGTAATAATGACGGTAAAAAAGTATTCATCATACTCAGATAAAATGTTCCTCAACAAAAATATTAAAATCAATGCATATCATACAATCGTCCAAACTAATGCATCGTGAGAACCGCTAATTCAAATCACAATCTGCGACCGCAATGTTATTTGTGACCGTTATATTTGTCTAGATTACACCACTAATAAAAAATTAATTTTTTATTAGCTTATGGTTTCATACTTAATAAATCAAACAAAAATATTTAACCGATTATGAGAATAACACAACACATACGTATTATTATCATAATCAATTAAATATATTTGTTTGATTTATAAAATATTTCATGATGCATTAGTTTGAACATATGGTGATATGCATTCATTTGAATATTTTTTTCGAGCAACATCTTATATGAGTAGGGTGAGTGCTTCGTTACCGTCACTATTACATCATGGGAACTACTATTTCAATTTACGGTCTGAGATAACTATTTACTTTGTGACCATGATACCAAATTAGATTACACCACTAATAAAAAAATTTGTTTTGTTAATGTATGGTATGACATTTAATAAATCAAACGAAGATCTTTAACTGATTGCAATAATACTCTATTTGGTGTTGATGTCATATTTGTATGTTTTTTAATTTAAATTTGTTTCAAAATTTTAATTATTTTTGTTATTTATATATACTTTATTTTGATAATATATAAATAAAATTTAAATTAAAAGTAGAACAAAAAAATAAACGTAAAATAATAAGTAAACCCAATTAAAGGTAGGTTGTGAGGTCAAAATCAAGGACATGAGTTAACAAATTAAAAGTGTAAAATACTAAAATAAAAAACATAGACAAAATCTATATAAGGGATAAAATCAAGGCTTTCTATGACTATGTTTTCAAAGGTTTTCAAAGTGCATAAAAGGAAAAATAAAATTCTATCAAGTAGATTAATAAAAATACTAAGTGGAAGTATCAACACTGAGCACTCTTACATCTACCATAATAAATAAAAATCTATTTTGACAATTGTCATCCTCTCATGCATTTTGCCACATGTAATTTTGTGGTAATTTTAGAAAAAAAAATTCCACATGGCACAACTCCTTCTCATTACACGTGTCCTCCTTGTGTCCTTCCTAAATCCACTCTCACAAAATTGAAATCATCATTATGTATGGCAACCGTTTCCAAAAAAAGCTATCAAATCAAGGAAATCTATAGCAACCCAATTAACACCAAATTTATATCCCTTCAATCTCGGCCAATCCTATGTCCATTCAGTTTTCAAAATTTGAATTCTGCCATCTCAATCTCTTCTCCTAAATCTAAGCCAACCCAGGGTTCTTATTCGATTTCTGATGTATTAATTAAAAGTTGAAACTGGAATGGAAACTGAACTCTTCGCTGTGATTATGATATTTTTCTTTGCCCATCACCTCTTTTCTTTTTGTCTGAATCCACTAAGGCACCAACGAGGCGTGTGTAAGGTTTAATCTTCCTGAATCTAGACTTTATTCTGGTTCTTCTGGAATCAAGAAAATAATGTCATAATATTCTACGAATCACATGTGTTTTTATCTGTTTGATTATTTTTTATAGCCTGTATATAAGCAAACATGTAGTTGTTTTGATTTCTTTAGATGATTATTATGTAATACACCTGATAATTCCAATATATATTTGTAAAACATTAATGATTGGTATTTGTGCTTGTAAAAGATTTGTGTTTTCTTTCTTAATGATTAGTAAAAGCTAGCATGCGAGCTTTAATGAAGGTGGATTTTGCTGAAACATTGTTCTATCTAGAGATTTTAAGTAGTTTTTACCACATATGGAATTTGATCTACTTAATTCCTTGGTTTTTTAAATACATTTGTTCACTTCTTGAAGGTTGTAATGTGAGATACATAATTGCAGAAAACATTTCAAACTCTAAGCAATAAGGAGGTCAGTGCTGTAAACCAAGGTCATTTGTTTGTATATATTAGAGGTGACGTGGCAATGTACTTTCATTTTTTTGCATACAAATTTGGTTTGTTGAAATGCTCACAAATTGTTTGTTGAAATTTCTTTAATTTTGTTATTTGGCCATAATATAAGTTGATGATAATTGTGATAAGTAATATATGATTAACATAATTACCCTTTGGTTTTAGTTTTTTTAATTATTTTTATAATTCTTTTGATATTAGTAAATAATTGAATGAGTATGCATATGATGCATGACTTTGTATTGTGCTTTGGCAATTTTGAACAGGAGTGAAATGGACATTGATTTGAGATTCTTACTTTATCACCAAATGAGTATACGATGCTAAACGAAGACATATTTACATATTTATTGAAATAAGTTTAGAGGCTACAAGCTTTAATTAGGAAATTTTATTACAAACCTTTTCGGGAGTTAAAAATGAAATTTTATCTTTTATTACAGGTCTACAAATAAGTTTAGAGGCTACAAGCTTTAATTAGGAAATTTTATTACAAACCTTTTCGGGAGTTAAAAATGAAATTTTATCTTTTATTACAAACCTTTTCGCGATCGGGAGTTAAAAATGAAATTTTATCTTTTATTACAAGTATGAGTCACTCCTGTCTGAATGATCTGTTGGCTGTTCTTGCTAGATCAATGTTCCATATGTATGTGTGAAAGGTTTGAAACAATTATTAGAAGGAACCTTATTGTAGATATAATATGGGCAATATACTTTATATTTTACCTAATAACAACAATATACTTTAGAAGGAACCTTCAGTAGCCCCTTTTGGATAATTTTTATTTAATTTTTATATAAGACAGTAGAGATGTAGAGAATAGTTAATATTATTAGAATGTGGATTTTAAATAGTGTCATTTGTATTATACATATTTTAACTTTGGTTTGTAAACTTTGACGTATTATTAATTATTTTACATATGTTTTACTTATAGAATTATAATATATTATTGTTTAAAAAATGTGTGTTAGTAATGTATGGGCACATTGCTATTTGCTAATCTTATATTTGAATAATAAATTATGTATTTTGAAATAAGAAGGTTAGAATTTTCCTTTGAAGTGAAAATAATGTGGCTAAGCTTAGAATTCCACATTGCATTATATGAGTTATTTAGAAACGATGGATGCCTACAATTTAAAATAGTAGTGTTATAAATTCTACAATCAAGAGATATATCAAAATCAAAATTGAAAACTAACCCATTGTCCCCTTTTTATAGGAAGCAAATACATGCTGCTACACTATACCCAAAATAGACATACTTTCATATTTGGGTTGAAAATTACCTCCTCAATCTAAACCTGCACATAGTCCGAACCTATTTTTCAACAACCAGCATGAAACATAATAGAATGGTCAACTGATTCATCGATCAAAAACATCGAGTGTATTACAGATAAGCAGATAGAAAAGTGAAAAACGTACACTTAGAAAACTCAAGAAATATTATAGATTTGAATATTCATTACTTAGATAAGAAATCGGAAAAGAGAAAGTGAAAACGTAGAAAGAGAAGCAACAGAACCTCAAGAACCCTATTATCGTTGCCATAACAATTCTCCAATTAAACTCCAATTTCTGAATGAAAACATCAAAGATGAAAAACCCATTCGATTATAAGATCAAAGTGGTCAACGATCATAATTACGGACTTACAGGCAAGATTCTGTCGTCAGAGGAAGAACACATAACAGCGGGGAAGAACACATAGGATCGATTTGATGTATGAAATCGATGGGGTTACCCTGATGTCGATTGAAGGAAGTGATTGGGTTTAGAGCATAAGAGAGGGAGAAAAGTAAGAAGATCATGGCGATTCTAGTGAAGTAAAAAGGAATGATTAGGTTACAACTGAGAGAGAGAGAGAGAGAGAGAGAGAGAGAGAGAAA